TGTTACCAACAGTTGGAGACAGTAGAATAGACAAAAGTGTGTGAATTCATACATAAACAGTTGTGTGTCCTTAACCTCAGTCAGTGATGGAGCAAGGGAAGCCTTAGGCTGCTTGGTCCCTAAGTTTCCTACAGACGCTGCAGGTACACAGTAAGGCAGCTTCGGCAGCAGCTTTTTGGTCATAATCTTGAATCTTTTTTTGTCCAGCTTTTTTGCGTTTTTCTGCTGAGATTGAACATTCCACTGGACACATGCCCTATTCGGGCCAGGGCTGTCTTGGTTGGAGGGACTGTGCCGTGCGAGAACTGTGCTGAGAAATTCCTACCACCCCCTATTCTGTACTTACTTGGCCATTTTTTGTTTTTAAAGATTTGCTTCTTTATTTATTTGAAAGGCAGAGTTGGGTAGTGGTGTAGTGGTGGAAGAGGTGGGAAGATTTTCTTTCATCTGCTAGTTCACTTCCCAAATGGCTGCAATGGCTGGGACTGGGCCAAGCTGAAGCTTGGAGCCTAAAACTCCATCTGTGTCTCCCACATGGGTGGCAGGGGCCCCGGTACTTGGTCCATCTTCTGCCTTTTCTGGCACATTAGCAAAGAGCTGGGTCAGAAATGGAGCAACTGGGACTCGAACCAGTACCCATATGGGATGCTGGCATCACAGGTGTCGACTAAACTTGCAACACTCATTTGGGGAGTGAACCAGCAAATAGGAGATCTCTCCTCCTCTCTGTGATTCTGTATTTCAAGTAAATACATAAATCTTAAAAAAAAAAAAAAAAGTGATCAGCCCTTGAACTAACCCATCGTATGAGATGCTGGTGTTACAGGTGGAGGCTTAACCTGCTGCATCACTACCTTGACACCACCTGGCCAGTTTTAATATCAAGGTCTAGTATTATGTTTAAGTGTCGATTTTCACATTTAATAGGCTCTTTTATTCTTCTGTAATTGATTTAAGTAAAAAGGAGAATAGGGGCCAGCGCTGTGGCATAGTAGGCTGACTCTTCCTGTGGTGCCGCCATCCCTTATGGGCGCCAGTTCATGTCCTGGTTGCTCTTCTGCCAATTCAGCTCTCTGCTGTGGCCTGGAGAAGCAGTGGGAGATGGCCCAAGTCCTTGGCCCCTGCACTCATGAAGAAGATCCAGGCTCCTGGCTTCGGATGGGCTCAGCTTTGGCAGGCCATTGTGGCCATTTGGGGAGTGAACCTACGGATGGAAGACCTTTCTCTCTGTCTCTCCCTTTCTCTGTCTGTAACTTTACTTCTTAAATAAATAAAATCTTTAAAAAAAGGAGAATAAAAAATTTAATTTGGGTGCTTTGGTATTGGGATGCAACAGGTTAAGCCTCTCCTTGCTACACCAGCATCCCATATTGAAGTGCCAGTTTGAATCGCGGGTACATTGCTTTTGTCACAGCTTCCTGCTAATGTGCCTGAAAGGCACATTATTGGGTTCTTACCACCCATGTGGGAGACCAGGTTGGAGTTCCTGGTTTCTGCCTTCAGCCTGGCCCTTACTTGGCTGTTGTAGTCATCTGGGGAGTGAAGCTCCAGATGGAAGTTCACACCCTCTCTGTCTTCCCCTCTCTCGGTCACTCTGCCACAGGAATCTTTAACAAAAGTTAATACTGGGGCATGGACATTTTACCTAATGGTCCCATAGTGGAGTAACCAGGTTCTGTCCCCAGCTCTGGCTCTTTACTGTAGCTTCCCTTCTAACACAGATCCTTGGAGGTCATGGTGATGGTTCAAGTAATGGGGTTTCTGCCACTCTTGTGAGGGGATCTTGATTGAGCTCCCAGGTTCTAGCCCTGGCCCAGTCCTGGGATCTCTGTCAGGCTGTGTCTCTGCTTCTCAAAGAATGAATTAGAAAAAAAATTAATTTTGGAAAAATGCATAGAGCATAAAAATAGCATAAAATGTACCACATTAACCACTTTTAGTATATGATTAAGTAGTGTTATGTGTTCACATTGTTGTGTGATCAATCTCTGGAACTGTTTTCATCTTAGAAAACTGAAACTCTGAAACCATCAAACAACAAGTGTCAGTTTTCCCCTTCCTCCCAGTCTCAGGAAACCTCCATGCTATTTTGTCTATGATTTTGAGTATTCTGAGTACCTTGTATAAGTGAAATCATGGTATTTTTCCTTTTATGACTGCATTTTTCACTTAACATAATGTCCTACAGTTTACTCATGTTGCTGCATATGTCAGAATTCCCTTTTTAAGTCTGAATAATATTCTGTTGTATTAAATATCACGTTTTGTATACCCATTCATTTCTCAGTGGACATTTGGATTTCTTCCATGTCTTGGTTGTGAATAATGCTGCTGTGAACATGAGCATACAAATGTGTCTTTCTGTCCCTGTTTTCAATTCATTTGGGCCCAGTAGTAAAGTTACTGGCTTATATGGTACTTCTATTTTTAATTTATCGAGAGACCATTATATTAGTTTCTATAGGGCAATTAAAAAAACCTACTCATGTACCTGTGAGGGATTGGTGCTTGAATTGTTTACACTTTCCCCACTTCTTGTCAGTACTTGCCTCTGAATGCTTGCTTCACTTTGGCTTCTTTAATAAGATTGAGCAGTTGTTGCTCAAAACTCGTTTCATTTATGATTACACCATGTGATCAAAGAGGAAAAAGTATTCATTAGAAGATCTAGATGGCTGAGTCTGGGTCACCTTCCCATTTTTGAAATAGTTTTTGTGGCTAAGGATGTAGTACTAGCATTAGCTCAGCTTGTCACATGCCTATCCTTGTGAGTGAGGAATGCCGAGATAATATTGCAACAAACCTGTATTGCCTTAGAAGCTTGATTCCACATTTTGGCTATCTCCTAGACATCCTATTGGTGCCTCAAACCTGCATTTTTCCCCTCCATCTCACTATCTCAGCTTACCAGCCAACCCTGCTCACCTTTGAAGTCATTAAAGAGACAGAACTTTCCATGTCTCAGGGTCTTTACACAGGAGACCTCTGTGTCTTTACAATTATCCTCATTTACTATTTCTTTTAAAAAGGTTTTATTTATTTATTTGAGAGGTAGAGTTAATAGACAGTGAGAGGGAGAAACAGAGAGAAAGGTCTTCCATCTGCTGGTTCACTCCCCAAATAGCGGCAATGGCTGGAAATGGGCTGATGGAAAGTCAGGAGCCTGGAGCCTCCTCTGGATCTACCCACGTGGGTGCAGGGACCCAAACACAGGCCACAGCAGAGAGCTGGATTGGAAGAGGAGCAGCTGGGACAGAACCAGCGCCCATATGGGATGCCAGTGCCGCAGGTGGATGCTTAGCCCACTGAACCACAGTGCTGGCCCCCCTCATTTACTGTTGGTATTCCCTAGAATGACAACACACTTTATATACTGGATGTAGGTAATATGAAGCTGGTATCAATATGGATATGGAATATAGAGGAAGTAAGTTTGGCTTTTCTTTTTAAAGATTTATTTATTTGAAAGGCAGACTTACAGAGAGAGGAGAGACAGAGAGATATTGATCTTCCATCCGCTGGTTCACTCTCCAGATAGCTGCAATGGCCAGCTCTGGGCCAGGCTAAAGCTAGGAGCAGGAAGCTTCATTTGGGTCTCCCACATGGGTGCAGGGTCCAAGCACTTGCACCATTCTCTGCTGCTTTCTCAGTCCATTAGCAGGGAGCTGGATTGGAAGTAGAGCAGCCGGGACTCAAACTGTTGCACATATGATATGCCAGGTTTGCAGGTGGTGGCTTAACCTGCCATACCACAATGCCAGCCCATACCCTTCAACTTTTCAGTTGTGAGGAGAAACACAAGATCTCTGTCCTCACCCTATAATTGCAGTTTTCCAAGTGGGGAGAATGTGCCATCATCTGTATACTGTGTGCAATAATGAGGGTAGCATTACAGGTAAGACTAGACAGGTTTTCCAAGGATGGGTGAATTAAAGGAGGAGAGAATATTGTAGTTAGCTAAAAGCACACAGGAATGGTAGGTGTTTCAGCAGCAAAGACTGATGTTCATGTTTAGGGATGGTATAAAAAAAGAAACCATTGAAGAAGATAAGGAATATTTCTGGATAGAATTCTGTGGTGGTATGATGCAGGATATAAGGATAGAAGAAAAAGAATAAGGATTATTTGTCCCTGTCATAAATTAATTTTCAAGAATAATATAAATGTTTTTACAAAATTAAGTCTTTTTGTTAAAAAGCAATGAGTTCTTACGAATGACTGTCATCCAGAGCAAGTGGCTAAGCAGAATCTAAAAACAAGAGAAAGAAGATTTTGTTCATATAATGACCTCAGGATTTTTTTTTAGAAAGCTTTTTTATTTTTTATTTTTTATTTTTTTTTTGACAGAGTGGACAGTGAGAGAGAGAGACAGAGAGAAAAGTCTGCCTTTTGCCGTTGGTTTACCCTCCAGTGGCTGCCGCGGCCGGTGCGCTGCGGCCAGTGCACCACGCTGATCCGATAGCAGCAGCCAGGTACTTATCCTGGTCTCCCATGGGGTGCAGGGCCCAAGCACCTGGGCCATCCTCCACTGCACTCCCTGGCCACAGCAGAGAGATTTTATTTATTTATTTGAAAGTCAGAGTTACACAGAGAGAAGAGAGGCAGAGAGAGAGAGAAATCTTCTAGCCGCTGGTTCACTCCCCAATTAGCCACAATGGCCGGAGCTGCGCCCATTGAGGGCAGGAGCCAGGAGCTTCTTCCGGGTCTCCCATGCAGGTGCAGGGGCCCCAGGACTTGGACCATCTTCTACTGCTTTCCCAGGCCACAGTAGAGAGCTGGATCAGAAGTGGAGCAGTGGACACGAACCAGCGCCTATATGGGATGCTGGTGCTGCAGGCGGCAGCTTTACCCGCTATGCCACAGCGCTGGCTCCTCCTGTGCTTGCTGTTTAAATAGAAAAACAGGTTAAACAGTTGTTACCCTAACGCCACTGAAGAAGTGTAGTTATTTTCTTGATTGATAACTGCATCTTTTAAATTTGCTTCACAATTCTAATGTAGATACGTCACGAAATCTGGAGTTTCAGGAAATACATAGCACTGGAAATGAACCACCTTTGCTGATTATGATTGGCTACAGTGATGGATTGCAAGTCTGGAGCATCCCTGTAAGTATGACAATGAATCCCTAATGCGTCATACTCTCCTGCGGGATAGCTTATGTGGAATTCTGAGATACCTTTACAGTCGTGTTGTGGTCTCATCCATGTTATGGTTTCACAGTGAGTTGCCAGGAGACTGCTTTGTGCACAACAGCATAACAAGGTATTGGGATTGAGAGGCAAGGGAAGAATGCTCTGTATGGCTGATCAAGTGGATCAGGAATTGTGCAAATCATGTTCCATGAAAGAGCTCAGTATTTCTGTTGGCAAATTATTTTTGTTTTCTTAAAGATTTATTTATTTATTTGAAAGGCAGAGACAGAGAAATCTTCGATCCGTTGGTTTACTCCCCAAATAGCTGCAATGGCTGGGGCTGGGCCAGGCAGAAGCCAGGAACCTGGACCTACATAGGTCTTCTATGTAGGTGCAGGGGCCCAAGTACTTGGGCCGTCCTCTGCTGCATTCCCAGGTGTATGAGCAGGGTGCTGGATTGGAAGTGGAGCAGCTAGGACTGCTGCTGCTGCAGGTGGTGGCTTTAACTGCTTGCCACAGTGCCAGGCTTCTTAGTGTAAGTAAGGATTATTATTCATTTTTTAAAAAAAGATTTATTTTATTTATTTGAAAGAGTTATTCAGAGAGACAGAGAGAGAGAGAGAGGGAGAGAGAGAGAGAGATGGAGGGAGGAAGGGAGAGAGGGAGACAGGGAGAGAGGGAGAGGTCTTCCATCTGCTAGTTCACTTCCCAGATGGCCGCATTGGCCAGAGCTGTGCTGATCCAAAGCCAGGAGCCAAGAACTTTCGGATTTCCCATGTGGGTGCTGGGGCTCAAGGACTTAGGCCATCTTTTACTGTTCTCCCAGGCCATAGCAGAGAACTGGATTGGAAGAGGAGCAGCCGGGACTAGAACTGGTGCCCATATGAGATGCTGGCACTGCAAGCGGCAGCTTCACCTGCTGTGCCACATCATCGGCCCCGAGGATTATTATTTCTCTTTTACAGAAGTCTAAACTGAGACTTCTGGAAGTTTTTTTTTTTTTAATAGCAGCCACTAACAGTATATCAGTTATGAATCAGTTATAATAATCATGTGGTACAAAATCCTAGAAGTATGAACAGGTGAAAAAAATTTCCACCTCTTCTTTTGTTTTTTTCTACTTTAAGGCACCTTGATTTTCTAGTTTCTGATACATTCTTTCAGGGTTTTTTTTTTTTTTTTTTGCAAATAAATATATTCCTTAACCCTTGGTCTGAATCTTGCTGTTTTTGCTTCATGTTGGCATTTGGGGAAATTCTTCATTCAATCTGATAGCTGTATAATAATTCTTTTCGGATTTTCCTGACTTTACTAGTTTGCTATTGATATAAAAATGCTATTAATTTATTTTTAAGATTTTGTTTTTGGGGCCGGTGCTGTGGCACAGCGGGTTAACACCCTGGCCTGAAGCGCTGGCATCCCATATGGGCGCTGGTTCTAGTCCTGGCTGCTCCTCTTCCGATCCAGCTCTCTGCTATGGCCTGGGATAGCAGTGGAAGATGGATCAAGTCCTTGGACCCCTGCACTCGTGTGGGAGACCTGGAGGAAGCTCTTGGCTCCTGGTTTCGGATTGGCGCAGCTCCGGCTGTTGTGGCCAATTGGGGAGTGAACCATCGGAAGACCTCTCTCTGTCTCTGTCTCTGTCTCTGTCTCTGTCTCTCCTCTCTCTGTGTAACTCTGATTTTCAAATAAAATAAATAAATCTTTAAAAATAAATAAGGCTGGCGCCGCGGCTTACTAGGCTAATCCACCTGTGGTGGCACTGGCACTCCAGGTTCTAGTCCCACTTGGGGCGCCAGTTCTGTCCTGGTTGTTCCTCTTCCAGTCCAGCTCTCTGCTGTGGCCTGGGAGTGCAGTGGAGGATGGCCCAAGTGCTTGGGCCCTGCATCCGCATGGGAGACCAGGAGGAAGCACCTGGCTCCTGCCTTCGGATCGGCGCAGCGCGCCAGCTGCAGCACACCAGCCATGGCGGCCATTTTGGGGTGAACCAACGGAAAAGGAAGACTTTTCTCTCTGTCTCTCTCTCTCACTGTCTAACTCTGCCTGGCCAAAAAAAAAAAAAAAGTAATAAAGCACCTGAAACATGAAAAAAAGATTTTGTTTTTACTTATTGGAAAGACAGAATGACAGGGAGAGACAGTAAGAGAGAGATCTTCCATCCCCTGGTTCACTCCACCTAATTATTTGAGCTGGGTCAGGTTGAAGCCAGGAGCCTGGGACTCCATGTAGGTCTTCCACATAGCTGGCAGGGGCTCAGATACTTGAGTTGTCACCCACCGCCTTCTTAGATCCAGTAGTAGAGAGCTGGGTTTGAAGTGGAAGAATGCGAACTTAAACTGGTGCTCTGATATATGGGGTCCTAGTGTCCTAAATGGTGGCTTAACCTACTATGCTGCACTGCTGGCCCAGATGTAAAGACTTTAACTACCTATTTTTTTGATATTTAAACCAAAGTTGTAATGAATGAACTTGAACTAAGATTGTTATGTGTCTGCACCTGTATGGGATAACATTCCTTCAGTGGAATTTTTAAAGATTTATTTATTTATTTGATAGTCAGAGCTACAGAGGGAGAAACACAGAGATTGATATTCCATCTGCTGGTACATTCCCAAGATGGCTGCCGTGGCCAGAGCTGGGCCAGGCCCAAGCCAGGAGCTTCTTATAGGTCTCCTATGTGTGTGGCAGGGGCCAAAACAATTAGCAGCTGTCTGCTGCTATTCCCAGGCATTTAGCAGGGAGCTAGAGTGGAAGTGGAGCAGCCAAGACTTGAACCAATTCCTGTGGAATTCTGACAGAGTCAAAGTCTAAGTGCATTTCTTTTTTTTTAGATTATTTATTTATTTATTAGGTAGAGTTACACAGAGAGGGAAAGACAGAGAGAAAGGTCTTCCACTCACTGGTTCACACCTCAAATGGCTACAATGGCCGGAGCTGGGTCTATATGAAGCCAGGAGCCAGGAGCTTCTTCTGGGTTTCTCACGTGGGTGTAGGGGCCCAATCACTTGGGCCATCTTCCACTACTTTGCCAGGCCATAGCAGAAAGCTGTATCAGAAGTGGAGCAGCCAGGACTCAAACCAGCACCCATATGGGATGTTGACATCCAGGCAGAGACTTAGCCTACTGTGCCACAGCGCCAGTCCCTAAGTGCATTTGTAATTGTGATTGACGTCTTGCACTGTGTAGTATCAGTCCTAGTTTGCCTGCTGACTCCTGTGTGTACTCCTTAGGGTGATGAAAAATAAGTTTGTTTTTTTTAAGAAGATTTATTTTATTTATTTGAACGGCAGAGTTACAGAGAGAGGGATACACATGTGCATAGACACAGACACACACACACACACACACACAGAGACAGAGACAAAGACAATGTCTTTCATTTGTCGGTTCACTCCCCAAATGGTCACAGTTGCAGGACTGAACCAGGTAAAGCCAGGAGTCAGGAGCTTCTTCTGGGTCTCCCACATGGGTGTGGGGGCATAAGGACTTGGGCCATCTTCTGCTGTTTTCTCAGGCACATTAGCAGGTAGCTGGATCAGAAGTTGAGCAGCCAGGACTTGAACCAGCTCCCGCATGGCTGTCAGCATTGTTGGCTGTAGCCTCATCTGTTATGCCACAACATTGGCCCCCCAAAATAAAAGTTTTTAAAAAGAAGATGAAGCTTTTTAACATCACTGGGTGGGATTTAGTATGGACTGTGTATTTTGTCTGGTTTCATGTAAGTTTCTGGTGTTGACCTTATCTTTTCTGTAGGTGGGTGGATTTCTGTTATCTGGTTCTTTTGCTTCTGGGCCAATAGAATTTGAAGATGTACCTCTAATAAATTTATTCACCAAACTGCTTTGAAACCCCTTGAGTATGTGTGTGTGTGTGTCTGTGTCTTTCAGCCTGAATTTTTTTTTCTGTTGGATAATTTCTTCTTAAAAGATTCCTTCTTTTAATTTTATTTTTTTATAAAGATTGATTTATTTATTTGAAAGTCAGAGTTACACAGAGAGAGGAGAGGCAGAGAGAGCGAGAGAGATCGAGAGAGAGAGAGAGAGGTCTTTAGTTTGATGATTCACTCCCCAATTGGCCGCAACGGCTGTGCTGATCTGAAGCCAAGAGCCAGGAGCTTCTGCTGGGCCTCCCACATGGGTGCAGGGGCCCAAGGACTTGGGCTATCTTCTACTGCTTTCCCAGGCCATAGAGGAGAGCTGGATCAGAAGTGGAGCACCCAGGTCTCAAACCAACATCCACATGGGATGCCGGCGCTTCAGGCCAGGGCGTTAACCTTCTGTGCCACAGCGCCGGCCCCCTTAAAAGATTTCTAAGCAAACATATTATTTTGGATTTAATGGAAATCAGGATGTTCTCAATTTATCGAATTTGTCTTCAGTGGCATAGGGATTATTATTACTCTTTTAAATAAGAAGTATTTTTTACATATTTATTTGAAAGGCAGAGTGACAGGGATAGGGAAAGACAGAAAGAAATAGAAAGAGGTGTCTTCCATCCACTGGTTCACTCCCTAAATGTCCACAATAGCTGGGGCTAGAATAGACTGAAGTCTGCAGCAGGAATTCCATCTTGTTCTCCAGTGTGGGTAGTGGTGGGAACTGTAGTACTTTGGCCATCATTCACTGCCTTAACAGGTGCTTTTTACAGGAAGCGTGATCTGGAGCAGGGTAGCCAGGACTTGAACTGACACTCAGATATGGTTTGCAAGTGTTTCAGTGGTGCTTTAACCTGCTATGCCAAAGTGCCTGCCCCAGTTCTGGGGTTTTTTTTTTTTTTTTTTTTTTTTTTTAGTCACTTTTATTTATTTTGTGGAGGTAAAATGATCTTGCTGATATGTTGTGGACTTAGAAGTATTCTATTTCTTTTGCCTTTTGGAATGTGTAGTTGACCTTTCTGAGTTTTTTGTAGCTGATCATCCTGAAGACAGGGACAAAAGGACTCAAAATCTGTTTGTGTTGTTTTGTTTTGTTTT